CAACTGGAGTTATAGCTAGCAAGGGTATGGAGGGTAACGAGAAGGGTTTCTACAAGTATGTCAGCTACAAGAGGAAGATCAAGGAAAATGTGGGTCCCTTACTGAATGGGGAGGCAACCTAGTGACAGAGGATGCAGGAAAGGCTGAAGTGCTCAATGCCATTTTCACCTGTCTTCACAGGCAAGGTCAGCTTCCAGACTACTGCACCTGACAACACAGTCTGGGGAGGAGGTGAGCAGCCAACATTGGTGAAAGAACAGGTTAGGGAATATTTAGAAAAGCTGGATGCATACAAGTAAATAGGGCCAGACAGAGTGCACCTGAGGGTGCTAAGGGAGTTGGCTGATGTGATTGCAGAGCTGCTGGTCAGCATTGAAAGCTCATGTTGATGGGGAGAAGTCCCAGATTATTGAAAAAAGGCAAATATAGAGGCTATATTTAAGAAAGGGAAAAAGGAGGATCCAGGGAACTACCAACCAGTAATCTGTAGTCCTGGAAAAATCATGGAACAGATCCCCAAAGAATCAATTTCTAAGCACTTAGAGGAGAAGGTGATTAGGAACAGCCAGCATGGATTCACCAACAGCAAGTCTTGCATGACCAACCTGATTGCCTTCTACAATGAGATGACTGGCTCTGTGGATGTGGGGAGAACAATGGATGTGGTGTACCTTGATTTTAGCAAGGTTTTTGATATGGTCTCCCACAACATACTTGCAGGCAAGCTAAGGAAGTATGGGTTGGATGAATGGACTGTAAGGTGGATAGAAAACTGGCTGGATTTTTGGGCTCCCAGGGTAGTAATCAATGGCTCGATGTCTAGTTGGCAGCCAGTATCAAGTGCCACAGGGGTCCATCCTTGGTGTGCTGCAGGGGTCCGTCCTGTAGTCAGTTTTATTCAATATCTTCAGCAACTACCTGGAAGAGGGCATAGAGTGCACCCTCAGCAAGTTCGCAGATGGCACCAAGCTGGGGGGAGTAGTAGATATGTCGGAGAGTAGGGCTAGGATTCAGTGACCTAGACAAATTGGAGGATTGGACCAAAAGTTATCTCATGAGATTCAATAAGGACAAGTGCAAAGTCCTTAACTTAGGGTGGAACATGCACTAGTACAGGTTGGGGGCTGACTGGCTAGGCAGAAGCTCTTTAGAAAAGGACCTGGGGGTTACACGGGCTGCACTGGTAGGCGTGTTACCAACAGATCAAGAGAAGTGATTATTCCCCTCTATTCAGCACTGATGAGGCCACCTATCTGTAGTACTATGTTCAGTTTTGGGCCCCCCACTACAGAAAGGATGTGGACAAGTTGGAGAGAGTCCAGTGGGGGGCAATAAAAATGGTCAGGGGGCTGGGGCACATGACTTATGAGGGGAGACTGAGGGAACTGGACTTATTTCATCTAGAGAAGAAAAGACTGAGAGGGGATTTGATAGCAACCTTCAACTACTGAAGGGTGGTTCAAAAGAGGATGGAGCTAAACTGTTCTCAGAGGTAGCAGAACAAGGAGCAATGGTCTCAAGTTGCAGCAAAAGAAGTTTAGGTTAGATATTAGGAAGAACTTTCTCAGTAGGAGGGAAGTAAAACACTGGAATAGGTTACCCAGAGGGGTTGTGGACTCTAAACCTTTGAAGTTTTTAAGAGCCGGGTAGAAAAAGCTAGAGGGAGGATCTAGTTGGGGATGGTCTTGCTTGAGGAAGGAGTTGAACTAAATGACCTTCTAAGGTCCCTTCCAACCCTAATTTTCTATGATTCTATGATAATTACATCAAGACATGGGAGATAAAGAAGAAGGGAGGGTGAAAGAGTCAGACTCGGGCAAAAGTCAAGGGGCACCAGTGGGCGCCTCGGCTGCCTTCAGAGGCCAGGATCTGCTACAACACTGTTTAATTGCCTACTTAATGCCTCATCTATCATCCTAGCAAAAACCCAATGACTGTAGCGCACAGCCTCCCTGCTATACCTGGCCTTATGCTTAGAAGCCAAGATAAAGCATAAGTCATGGCTTCACACCCAGATGTTATGATACCGAAGTGCCACCACAAGACATCATCCCCTTTGCCAGCACCTTCATCTTTTTGCCTTGGTTCACACCCTAAGAAAGTAGCACTGATGTCTTTCACTCCCATGCTAACAACTCATGAGGGATAAATCAAGTCACTTTAATACAAGCAATACATTGCAAGCTAGTGAGCAAGGAAAGAGAAAACAAGCAGCTCTTAAATCATCAGGTCTGCCTCTTGGGCAGCTGGTGCAGATCACCATGGAGTTCTGGTTTCCTTCTTAGCAACCACTGACTTTGCTTGTACTATCCTGGACATTTCAAAAAGCTGATGCTAGCTGCAAATATCAATCCAAGCTCCCTCTGGTCGCCCATTCCAGTGAACGTAATTCATCCAATCCATGGACGTTTCACCATGGGAAAGGGTGGGTCACAGAGTGGGCCAGGGGTGGGTGGGTGGCAGTGAGAAGGAAGTAGTGGTAGGACCATATTCCTAAGAGGATTGTGCTCCTAACATGATCCTACCGCACACCACGAATATCTTGTATGGTGTGTGGGATGCTTGCTCCATGTTTTTTGAGCAGTGCAGGAGCTGCTTGTCTGCAGCTTTTTTGAGTTATTTGGCCAAAGTTAAGCTAGACACAGATCAATCACGCTCCTTACAGTGTCTCATTTGGATTGTACAAGGTGGTCATAGAGGGTAGTGAAGTACACTATCAAGGGCTCCCCCTTGGCCTCACAGATGCTGTGCAGCATGCATGCATGCAGAGACCACAAAACAGGGCATGTTGCCCTTGCTGGTATGTCCTCAGGCACCTCCACTGAGCTTTAAAATGCCCAAAAGCATTTTCCACAGGAATTCTGCAGCTGCCAAGCTGGTAATTAAAGCAGTTCCTTCTGATCATCCAGGCATCCAATGAAAGGCTTTATCAGTCAGGGGTGCAGTGGGTAGACAGGGTCTCCCATTAGTAGCAGGAGTATAGTCCTCCAGCTTGATGTCAGGCAGGCCAGTTGGCAAACTACCTCTGCTCCAGCAGATCAGGGAGAACGGAGAACCTAAATATGCTGGCATGTACCATGCCCAATCAGCTGATATTTATGTGCGGGAAACAGCCACAGTGGTCCTGCCTGAAGCATAATTGAGAAGTAGCTCTTCTGGTTGATGAAGTCATGGCCACAGTACATGGGAGAAAGGTGTACCATCAACAGTCCCAATGCAGTTAGAGAACCTCAGGTTGGCAACTCCATCTAGGACCTCCTGTGGGTAGGCAAGGTTTATGATATGCAAGGCCATCTCCCATTGGATCACCAAACACACCTCCTTGCACCATTGACTTGCCAACCCCAAAATAGCTTTCCACAGATTGGAAGCTATTTGGGGTTGTGAGCCTCCATGTAGCAACACGCTTCTTCATGGATAAGGGAGACCATATTGCCATTGCCTGCTGCTGTATGTTTAGGGAAAGCTTGGCATCAGTCTCTATAAAGTAGCCCCTGAACATGCAGAAGTTTGTGAGCTACTGCTTGTTGTCCCAGGCAGCCATTATAATCTGCCCCCACCAGTCACTGCTCATCTCCCTGGCCTAGAAACACTGCTACATGGTTTGAAGCCACTCCCATATCTGCCTGGCCACAATATACTGATCTGTGGCCAAAAGATCTTCAGGGCAGCAGCTGCTGCCATGTATTAGGAGCTGGAGGTAGCCATTGTTGGGCAGCAACTACACATAAACCTTTCCCTCACAAGTACTTCTCCCTTGTACCTGGAATGAATGGAAGTAGGCATGGTGGTCATCAGAGCCTGCTTACATCACTTTTTCTGATCATTGTTACACATGAGTTCACAATGCTGGGCCAGCAAGTTGAAAACCACATACAAATCCACAGCAGCTCACAGTGGTGGAAGTTCTGGGTCATGGTCACTGGTGGCAGCATAAATGCAGTGGAGATGCAGGTAAGTAGTCAGGGGCACAAGCCAGTTAATCGCATCAAATTCCCTTCCACAAAAATGTTACCACCATCAATTTGAACAACCAACAGGGCTCTGTTTGGCACTGGAAGGGTCAGGGGAACCTAAAAACACTTGACCAGAGCAAGGGATGGTATGTGTGCTCTCACTTGCCACCTGCTGGCAGAAGAGTGATGATGCATTCAGCCAATCTAAACCTGACTGGATCTCTGGGAAAAGTTGCAGCATAAATTGGTCCCATGACAAATATAATATCTGTTTATAGTCTTATTGCTGTAATGCGCACTTTCTATGGAATCATATAGTGAAAAACTGAATCCCTTTGAATTATTGATAATATTATCTTAAGTTTTCTGTGTGTATCAGCTATAGTATCATAGCACTGCTACTGCCACATTTAAACTGAGAAAATATTTTCTTTTGCACAGTAAACTGAAGAAATTCAGTTTACTGTGCAGTTGACTAAAATAAAAGTAGATGGTGTGAAGGTTAATGAGCAAATTCTTTGCTTCTCAGACTTAGAACCAATACCAGCTTGTGGCAGAGTCCACACGTGAAATGAGGTTCTGGTATATACAATAAAAACACACTGGTAAATAAGAGTATTCTTTGATAATGGCTTCTCATAAAAAATATTAACAAGAAAAGTCACCTCACAGTGAGTCAAGAATGCTTTATAGGGTGCACAAATATAAAAGCATCAATTGTGTTCCACAGGATAGGTGGCTGCACTTCAGTGGTTAGGATGTACTTGGCTAAGCACTGTCTGCTAAGCACCTGGAGGTTTCAAGATGAGAAATGCTAACCCCATTAATTCACTTGGCACAAGTGAACACCTGTTTTGGGTCTTTCTGATGGTAACTTTGGAAAATTAGCTAAACTACATTCAGGTTTTACTGAAAACAAAAAAAGAATATTGCAGAAAAACTAGATTAATTTTAAAATGAGAAAAAGGTGACATAAGAAGAGAAAAGTGTAGATACGTTTTGCATCTATGAAAAAGAACATGGTATTTGGAAAGGTGTACTTGCCTTATTCTCTAAGTGTAATTTTAGAAAACGAAGATAGGCCACGGGTGCAAACGCATCAGCCGAATGTATAATTACATCAGATGAGTCCCTAAAAGACAAAACACCCCATTTCACTAAAGTCAGTGAAAGAAACTTTAATTTAGCATAAACATAATTTACATCTAGTTTAAGTCTATTTTATACTGCCAGACCAGTGTAAGTAGGTTTTAGTAAAATGAAAATAAAAAAATCAAGCCTGTTCTGTGTGGTCAGTAAAAATGACATCATGGTTGAAGTTCTAATGTCAGTAAAGAATACCACTGAGTTTTTATTTCAGCAGCATTTTAAATCTTTGGATAACCTCATTCCATTCTTCTGAATAATGGTGTAGGAATCACACCCTACAGAACTGGCTTTATAATATATTTTTTTTAATGAGAAGCCAGATTGTATAATTTAACTAACTTGCACCCAATGCTTAAGATCACTAGACACAAGTTGCTAATGCTAAGTGCATCGATGGCAGTGGTAAACTTCAGATCCATGATTCAAATGAGTTAATTTTTAGTCTTCATTTTGATAATCTGTCATTTCCAATTCACAAGAGGTAATATCTATTGTATCCATCTGTACTGTTTCAAAACAAGATAATTTAGCAATGGAGCTAAGATAACTAGGGGAAATACAGTTTCAAAAGGTGAGAAACAAAACAATTCACAGAAGGTATAAGAAAAAAATCATATGCATAAAAATTCTCAGATTTGGTTTTATTCAATAAAGCTGCTGACACAGATAGTTCACTAGTAATTACACTGGTCTTGCTGTCTTCACCAAGGAAACATAGGTACAGATAGCCTACTGTGACACTGGTGAATCTCCAGCTTATAGCCTACTCCCAGTAAAAGCAAAAGATAACCAGAGATCAAATTCTAAATTTAATTTGATTAAATGACAGACACTACAAATGGCTAAAGAAACCACTCTCCATGGTCAGGCAGCAAGTGAGTGTTTCTACTACTAACCCACCTCCCCTCCCCCCCAAGCACTTTGAACCAAACCCTCTGATGGTTTAAATCAGAGTCACTGCCTCAATTTCCAAAAGATGAGGACCTGGTCCATTCTTATCTGGATATATTTATTGTAGGTTTGAAATACCAAGATAAAAACATGCAGATTTAAACTGAAAATCCAATGCTGACATTTATAACTGTTTTGTTTTTAAGGAATCTGAACTATGCAACTCCTAATGGACGTCTTTGGATAGTAAAGGATAGTAACGGACAAAAAAAATTAGAAAAAAAGGTATTTTAAAATAGAAGATATTTTTTTAACTGTATATGCAGACCCGTATTTCCTACTTCATAAGTTTCTACTATCAGATTGAGAAAGAACCCAGCACAGTTTTCAGACCCTAAGTTAGATTTATAGGGCTGGTATTTAGAAAACTTTCACTTGTAAACTGAATAAATTTCATACTGAGTCACTGAGAAAGAATAAACATGAAGCCCCAGGATTCCATTCTCTACACGATTATTGTTTTCATATTTCAGTGCCTAGTGGGCCAGAGTGAGTCCATCTAGCTCAGTATCTTAACTTTGACAGTGGCAGGAGCAGACACTTTACAAAAAGAACATATGAACAGGTCACAAAATGCTTAGACTCAGGAGTCGAAGTAGATGACATCTACCTAGACTTTAAGAAGGCCTTTAATATGGTATTACATTCCGTTCTCGTAAATAAACTGACAGGTTGTGATGTAGATGATGTGGGTGGCAAATTGGCTTAGAGGTCACATCCAGAGTGGTGGTGGATGCGTCGATATCGACCTGGAAAGATGTGGGCAGTGGAGTCCTGCAAGGCTTGATCCTTGGACTGGTGCTATTCAATGTCTTCATCAGTGACTTGGATGAGGGCATAGAGAGCATCCTGTCCAAGTTTGCAGATGACACCAAATTATAGGGTAAAGTTAACACATCAGAGGGTAGGGAACAGATCCGGGCAGATCTGGACAGGTTGGAAAAATGGGCAGAACAAAATAGGATGCAGTTCAGCAAAGACAAGTGCAAAGTGCTGCACCTAGGCAAAAAGAACCGCCAAAATCCTTACAGCTGGGGGAGGACCTTCTCAGCAGTGGAAAGGGATCTTGGAGTCACTGTTGACTCCAAGATAAACATGAGTCGTGAATGTAACAAAGTGATCTGTAAAGCTAACTGCACTTTATCATGCATTAGCAGGTGCATGACAAACAGGTCCAAGGAGGTGATACTTTCCCTTTATGTGGCATTGGTCAGGCCACAGTTGGTGTACTGCATCTGGTTTTGGGTGCCACACTTTAAGAGGAATGTGGACAACTTCGAGAGAGTTCAGAGGAGGGTCACTCGTATGGTCAGAGGCCTGCAGGCAAGGCCCTACAAGGAGAGACTGAGGGACCTAGATCTCTTCAGCCTTCACAAGAGAAGGCTGAGAGGTGATCTTGTGGCTGCCTATAAATTCATCAGTGGAGGGCAGCAAGGAATTGGAGATGCTCTGTGTACAAGGGCACCCCTGGAACTAGGAACAATGGCCACAAATTAACAGAGAGCAGATTTAGGTTGGACATTAGAAAACTTCACAGTAAGGCTTGCCAGAATCTGGAATGGGCTTCCAAGGGAGGTGGTGCTCTTCCCTACCCTGGGGGTCTTCAAGAGGAGACTGGACAAGCACCTAGCTGGGGTCGTCTGACCCCAGTGCTCTTTCCTGCCCAGGGCAGGTGGTCAGACTTGATGCCCTACTGAGGTCCCTTCTGACCCTAACATCTATGAATCTATAAACAGGGCATGTGTCTAGTCATCTGCCATGCTTCCCTGACCACTCCCCCCAGTATATACTATCACTGATTTAAGGATATCAGGGGATATACATCCTTGACTCTTCCATTTAATAATTATTAATGGACCAGCCCTCCATTAATTTGTATAATGCCTTCTTGAACCTGGTTATATGATCTGCCTCTACAATCTCCTGTGGCAATGAGTTCCACAAGTTAACATGCCCTGTATTAAAAAAGTGCTTCCTCTTGTTTGTTATACTTAATGAAGTACTTCAAATATGGTTTGGAATGTCAAGATCAAATATACAGTGGGTGAAATCTGGGGCTACTGAAGTCAATGGAAAGACTTGCGTGACACAAGATTCATCATCTGAGACACTTTGGGCATGTCCAGATAAGCGTGGCCATGCGGTATGTGGCGTTGCGAAGTTGTCTGTAGCACCACATACCATGCAGGCAGGTGTTCTCTGCGCTGCAAGGGAGTGCTGCCCATGCGTGTGCCACTCCACTTTTTTTCCCT